CACCAAACACATCTCCATGGAGGTTAGATTATTTGCTAACATTTATCTCAATTACAATTTTCATTTATTCTCTCTGGAGGCAAAAATCATATTTAATTCATAAATAATTCCTATACAAGAATACCTGGAAATTTTGAAACACAAATGTAACAACGAGAATTGGAATAAGTCAAGAAGAGATGGTTGTCCAGGATTGCCCGCCCAAGCACTCCCATCTCATCAAGTCAAGAACCAACCACTTGCAGAAAAGAGAGAAGGAGTTGTTATTGAATATGGTCTGAGATAATGGGAAGACAGAAGCAATAGCATGATCTGGGAATTTAGGAAATATCACTCCCTCATCTGAATACTTATGAATACTGAATCAATTGTTGATAGATCAGACTCAAGATTTTCTCTCCTTTCCTTATTCATCGCAGAGGCAAAAAACTCCTTTGCTTTGAAATTCAAAGCCAGATTTTGACGGACATGAGAGAGAAAAAAGATGCATCAACGTTCAAGAAAAATGGTGAAGAAAAAATCTAGAAACATACCTGATAGTGGAGGTCTCGATTATGTTAGCTTCGAGAGAATATGGCCGCCGGCTGATGGTGCTTCGTTGCCTCCGATGCGTATGACGATGATAAACTCGTTCAAAGGGTGAAAGGTTATATAGGGCTAAAGTAGAGAAAGTTTGTTCGTTCCAGTGTCTGAATGCGAAGGAGTATAATTGTTTAGCTGAATGAATAAGTTAAGAATTGTCTGAGCGAATAAGTTATCTCTTTTGTTAAGTTGCAAGTAAACACACATTTATAACTGAATGGTTAAGTCAGTCACTCCATTAAGTCCATTAAATTCTAAATAAACAGTCCCTAAACATAGTTAGCTTTTTTGCGTTTGAAACGCGTTTTAAACACGTACAGTTTTTTTGAACAAAAAACGCGTTTAAAACGAAAAATAATGTCGGTCCGTTTAAAAAGGAAAAAACTTCAACTTCCCGTATAAAACGTATATTTCCCGTATTTTACAAAAAATAAAAACATCATTTGATCACTTGAATGAATACATCAAATGAATAGGAGATCAACAATAGTTTAAAAGAAAAAAAGAAAACTCGATCCCCGTGACCCCGTGTTTTTGTATTGTTACAATACAAAATATACAATTGTTAAATACTAAAATTAATTGCATGATGACTAAAGCTAGCATCCTAAAAGCCTAAAATCTAAAATACTAATACGTATTAGATTTGTGATGTTCTTTTCCATACAAGCATATCAAAATTAAGGTTTTTCTAAACCTGACATTTTTTAGTATAAACTTTTACACATAAATAATAATAAGTGCAACAGTCGCACAACTTTCTCATGTCATCCGTCATCTAGGTGAAAATGATGAGTTTAACTTGAGTGTTATTTGATGATCATATAAAGATGATGATGATATTAACTTGGCCTCATTCTATCGTTATTATGCCTTGTTTTATGATATACTTTGCAAAATTATGTCTTGGACTTGATTACTCCATACTATTTTTACTTTTGTCATCGAATTATGCAATTACGAATTATTCTTTTATGTAGTAATGTGATTTGCTACTCAATATGTGTACACTCTTATTTCTTTTTATTATATGTTATTTTATGAAGTATATGATTTAAATTTTATTTTGGATTTAATCATTATTTTTTTGTCATGAGCTTATGCTAGTATGAATGCATTTTTTATGGAGTAATGAGATACTACCTCCGTCCCGATGAGTTCTTCCTAAATTGACCTGACTCGCAAATTTAGATAGTGAGAATAAAGTGGAAATGTATGGTTGTAGTTGTGTAAGAAAAAGGTGAATGAATGTGAACCAAATATTTTTTCCAAAAGTGGAAGTTGGAAGAATTAATTGGGACGGTCCAAAAAGGAAAGTTGGAAGAAATGACCGGGATGGAGGGAGTATTATATGTGTGTGTTGATTATCCTTTATGTAGTATATGTTTTTTATGCTCTAAAAACTAGTACAATAATTTAATCATTCCAAATAAGAGCCGTATTTTTAACCCGAATTTTTCTAAGAGATGCCGTATTATACACGTATACGTATTTACACGTTTTATAAAAGTCAACGTATTTTTTGCCGAATTTTTGACCATTTTTTTGTCAAGTTACCGAATAAAACACGTACATATTAAATCACGTTTAATTCCCGTACCGTATTTAACTAACTATGCCCCTAACTGACTAAGAGAATAAAAAAGTGAAGAAAACGGGAAGAAACCTAGGCAAAGTCAGCATTCCTAGATGCCATATCTAAAAGAGAACAAGACATTTCCAGATCTAAAAGAGAAGAAAAAGAGAAAAAGAGGAGAAAGAATGAGAGGAGAAGAGATAATGCATCAGGGCCTCCCGCCATACCACTGCATCGCCGGACCGCCGGACCGCTGAACCGCTGGACCGCTGCACCGCCGTCGCCGTCGAGTCGCCATGACGTGCTGTCGCGGTGTCGTCGACGCTGGCAGGTCGTCGTGCCGTCGTGTTCACCCCACCATGCTCTGCTACATTGTTTGGGAAGAGAACGTAGCTGGTTCCGTAAGAATGTCCATACAGAAGAAAGAGACTTGGCCGTTGGGTGTGAACTTGTGGAGTCAGAGTAGAGCTGCAAAAATAAAGAATAAAGGTAAATTTGGAAGACGGAAAAAATATGATCTTATTTAAGAGTTAAAAAATCGAAGGTCTTATTTGAATATATACTCTTATTTTTAGTCCTATACGGGACCATTTCTCTATTACTCTATATAGAGTCTCAAGCAATCTTCCTCAAGGTGTTCATGGAATAACATTTCCACTACCATAAAAAACAAAATGAGAAAGCTGTCGTGCTTCCGTTGCTTTGATCGTTAGGTATGAAAGAAACGAAGAATAAACTAACTCGTTATCACAGAGCCTTATGACCAGGGGTATTGATGGACGTTCATTTTTTTGTATCGTTCTAGGCAATGGCGGACTCAGAAACTCAGAATCACGGGATCCCTACTGTAATGTAACTAATTAATAAAAAATTAATAAAAAGAAGAAGTAAAATAGTAAAATAGCATAACATATCATAGTTAACATAACGTATACAACAATTTTAAAGAAATGTCTACTATCAACTAGAGCCCGTTTGGTAACACATGAATCGACTGATTCTGTTGAAATTTATGAAGTTCTGACAGAAGTGGTTGTATTGACTGTTACTGTTGATTATGAAAAATTATTTTTAAAATATATTATATTAATAAAATAAAGAAGAAATGATATGAAAAATAGATAAAATGGTCATCTACAACAACTGCAGTCAATACAGCCTTAAAAGTAACTTCAACCTTATTTTTCTTATTATTACATAATTCAGCGCGTAAAATCAAAAGTTACATGTTTGGTTAAAAAGTTGGTTGATAAGCCTGATAAGCCGAAAACAGAGTCACTAAACGGGCACTAAAATTTTATAAAGTTAATGTCCTCTATCAACTAAAAATAATGGGCATGCATATGAGAAATCAAATTTAAAAAGTCTACATTTGAAAATTTCAATCCAATTACTTCGCATTATTTTATTTGGATTTTTATTTAAAATATATTCGTTAGCTTTGTTTCTATTTTAATTTAATACAATTACCAATTTATTTGTGTAACTTTAAGGACTTTGTTGTTGGGCTGATTTTAGTCTTAGATCAAATCACATCAAGCCAAACTATGCGATAATGGCTCAAGCAACTGAAACTGCTATATTAGGAAATAATGATATTTAAATTATACTTCCTCCGTCTCTTTTTAGTTGCAACAGTCAACATTTCACGTTTGCCAGCGCACAACTTTGACCGTCATTAAATTTAATTTTGTATTAGTAAAAATAAAATAAAAATCAGATTATAAGACTTAATAATGAGACGGATTTAACAATATTTTTCAAAAATAATTCACATACATTAATAAATAAAATGTAGTCAAAGTAAAGTATATGAATAATGTATTCCAATGTTGTAAATAATGTGATACGGAGGATAGTATGTTATAAGATATGAAAAAAAGTCATATGAAAAAGTGGCTAAGATGATGCTCTTACGGTAACTTCAGTCATCTCGCCGAAAAAATGATTTTAACTTGCTTATTTTAATTATTACAAATTCAGTGTGTGAATTCAAAAATTACGTGTTTCATGATGAAATTAGTTTATAAATTAGATAAGCTGAAATTTGGGGATACATATTGCCTTTATAATAGTATTTGTTATGAAAAAAATTGGGTATAGGTTGAGAAAATTAGATTTAGATTAAAAGTTGAGTTATAGAGGTGCATGATAACAACAGGTGCCCCAAGTTGTTCCATAATATTTTAATTATTACAAATTCAGTGCGTGAATTCAAAAATTACGTGTTTCATGATGAAATTAGTTTATAAAACAGATAAGCTCAAATTTGGGGATACATACTGACTTTATAATAGTATTTGTTATGAAAAAAATTGGGTTTAGGTTGAGAAAATTAGATTTGGATTAAAAGTTGGGCTATAGAGGTGCATTATAGCCCCAAGTTGTTCCCTAATTTTATTTTCAAAAAAGTGGACTCCAATAGGAATCAATCCCTCAACCTCCCGCACATATAGAGCCTCAAGATTGGGCATCCAACCATTGCTCAAGCTCCATATTTGTGTTCTAAACTAATTTCAATTGTATAAATACACTGATTACTTAATTTTATGTAAAATATATACATATATATGTATTTTTTGTAGGTTCATGGGGTCCCGGGACCCCGTGGGACCCTTAGTGGGTCCGCCACTGGTTCTAGGATTTTTGTTGAATATGACTTGGCAAATAACATCTCCAAATTGGTTAGCATTAACAATAGCTATTAGATTGAAAATTTTTAAAAACAACACCTTTGAAATGGAAAATACATATTCCAATTTTCTTGTCTATTATATCCTATCCTGAGCTTGCAAATCAATGAACCATTAGATAAAAAATCAATGACATAAAAATGAGTGGGTCCATTTTTTGGCACAAATCTTGAGAAGCTCAATTTTAATCTAAGCCTTCTATTTTAGTAAGGTCCATTTTTTGGATCTCAATCCTTTTCTTTCAACCAAACAAATTTAAAAACCTCCCTAAAATTGGCTTGTGAAGATCGAGTGTTAGAATATGCGGTTTGTCGATTAGAGTATATTATCATTGTTGCAGATTCATTCAGAACCAAAGACGAGGTTGCGAGGAAGAAAATCAATGGGGAAGGAGGTGTACAGAAACCTTGTGAAAGCAGTGAAGAAACACATCGGAAAAGAAGAGCACAAAGCCCATTTCACCGACTTTATAAGAGATGAGTTCAGGAAGAGCATTAATAGCCAAGCTGCTGCTGCTGCTGCTAAGAAGGATCTTTCCTTCACTCATCATGAGAATAGGTTAAAGCTTGCCAAAGATTATACCTTTCTCCTCAATAGTGTTCACCATCAAAAGGTCAATTCTTGTATCATTTTATACTACGTAGTAGATAACAACTAACTTACTGGCAACTCATTCATTTCAACTTTCATTTATGGTACTCTTAGCCTTCCCATGAGTAGATTCTTGATGCTTATTTTTCAATGTAATCTGCCAAAAAAGTTGATAAGTTACGTATTATAAGATTAGTTAATGCGTGTAGCATTTGTTTCTTCCCAAGACAAAATAAGGATGTACATGGATCAAACAGTATTCTGTTTATGGGACAGAGGTAGTTTAAATTGCTCCATGTACTAGAAGCTGATAGAACTTAATGGAGAAATTGAACTAATTTGTACCTGTTATAGATTTGAAGTCTTGAACTAGGAGGGCATTTGTTAGCCTTGAAAGTGTAAGAGTTTCTTTTGGAATTTCATAAAATTGCAAGTGATTCTCGTGTTCGGTAGTGGTTTGATGTAATAAAAGGTTGATCTAGTTTCTTGAAAATTAAGAAAAATTATATTTTCTTTCCGGGGAGTTACCTTCTTAGTAGGAATTTAATGAAGGGAAACTAGTGAACACCCTCTAATCGGTTGAAAAAAGCTTGGTTGAGTTAAATTGAGTTTCATTATTTGGGGTTTTCGGAGTTTTGGCTACTCTTCAACATTGGGTGCTTGCTTATGTGTTTAAATTGTGTAAATTTATCTGGCTCCTATAATTGTGGTTAGATTTCTGAGAGGTTTAAACAAAGAAATATTATTGGGAATATTGGTTTTTAAGAGCAGATTGGTAGCCTTATTATTTGGCTTATATAACGCAATAATCAGGATAAGCTCTATAAGTAGCATTTGACTTATTAGGATAAAACGTCTTTTATCAAACGATTCTCCTTTCTGAAAAATCACCAGATTCGACCATTTCCGCCAAATAACCCTTACAAAATGCACTTTAGATATCTAATCTATTACGGAGTACAAATGTTAAAACACCTGAAAGCGGTTTGACAGTTTCATCTATTGTGTACTTTTTTACTGTATTGGTTGTGCTGGGAAAATGAATATGGGATGGAGAGTCTATGGGATAGGATGTGCTTAATCATGCCCAGTAGAGAGTTGAAGGTGGAAAAGTTCACCAACTAGAAGTAGCAGGGTTTCATTGTCCACAGGTGACGAGATGCGACAAGAACCCTGACAGGTGTGCGGTTACATGGACAATAACACACACCTGTCACAATACTAATATCGCCACGTAACTAGGCAATGATTGACCTGAGGACATGATCAGCAAAAGCCTTCCATGTAAAATCTTAACTATTTTGCCACGTCTACTCAAAACATTAAGTTGTAAAAGCAGCAAGACACTACTAAAATGGTTTTTGTGGAGAAGTAACATTAAAATTGATGATACCCATGATGTTTTTGTTTCCCTTTCATGTGCTAATATGCTGCATGTATTGGTTTGGACAGGACTTGCTGTTTTCTTATAACATTGCAGTCGATAGGTCTGATGAGATGAAAAAAGTTTTGAGTAAATCTGCAGCCAGTGTCGGGCTCCAACTTCCTGAAGTTTATCAGCCATGACAGCCAGTAAGTACCTTTACTGGCTTATTGCACTTCATATTACTCTAGTAAACTCTACCATGGGAAAATCAATTGTGATTCTCATCTCCAATGTTATTGAAAACTGGATCGAACATGTTTGGTTCTTGCCTTGAAGAGGTGCAATACGGTCTATAATTGGTTAAGAACCCGTGAACCGTGCAGGGATTCTAAAATACTGTTTGGTTATTGTATTAAGAGAAATTAAGTTAAATTTGGGAAATGCTTTGAATTGCATGTTTGCTTTGGAATCAATGATTTATATTCCGAATAGTCCCTCCATAATCGAATACTTTCTCCCAAGGGTGGGCATTTTGGTTTAGTTTATACTTTTTATCAGTTTTCATTTCAATATCAAATGGATCAGAAGAATGATTTGTAAATAAATATCATACTATGGCTCATTTGGTTTGGTTTTGTTATTTTAAAAAGTATATTAAGATTCGAATGAATTGTTTTAATGGGTTTTATTTGTTGTTCCTTCGGGGACATCCGATAAATTGGAACGATACAGAGAAGATTAGCATGGCCCCTGCGCAAGGATGACACGCACAAATCGAGAAATGGGTTTTATTTGTTTTTAACTGATTTGGTTCGGTTTGGTTTAGTACTATTTGGAGGAAGTACTATCAAAGTCGAACCGAATTGCATATGGTTTGGTTTGGCCAATCCAAACTGAAATGCCTGCCCTAGACTTTCACCATGCCTCCAATATGGTTTTTCTCTATTTAATATAATTCTCTACCACACACTTTTCATTCTTATGATGGGATCTTTCCAAGCTTGATATCACCAAAACATTTCCACTTAAAATTGAAACTGCATCTATCAACTTATTAGCTTGTTTGACTTTTCTATTTATTTCTTTGGTGTATTTGCCAAATAGTTTTACTTTTAGTAAAGTCATCATTTTCATTTACCCCAGTGCCGCAAAGGCTCCCATCTACGGTGGGGTAAGGGGGGTCAGATGTACGCAGTCTTACCCCTGTACGTTGTCTTCAAATACATTAGTAGAAAACATACTCTATGATTAAACCCTGAAAACTCAATCAAGGTGTTAGCTTTTACAAATCATAAATGATCACTTATACCCTGAAAACTTATTTACAAGTTTGTTTAAAATATGAAAGATGGTTTTGAAAACTAGACTTTTTCCTTGAACAAAAAGAGTTGGTGAAACGGTAATGTTGTTTTTAGAAATATATTTCCAAGCGGTCAGACGACCGCTGTCCGACCTCGGGTGGATCATCAAACCCTAACCAAGAGTCCAATAGCAATAAGGTTCTTTTGACCTTACTCATCTCTCTTTTTCTTTTTCTTTTACCTTGCTAAACGTTTCTTCAGTTTTCTCTGTTCATTAGTGCTTTCGATTCTGGAGAAGAACTGCTGATGGACATTCTTGTTAATGGTGGAAGCAGTTTTTCTTATCATCCTCGAATCATTCCCGGCCACTCAAAAACTGGAAATTGAAGTGCATTCATCAATTTTTGCAGAATTTCAGAAGGAATCTTGTTACTAATCTTCTTTAGTCAAGAAAACATGTTGAGTTCTTTCTTTTTCTTTTTGATGAAACATTTTGAACTCAAATTGTTTTTGTATCATTTTTGTTAGATAATAATTCTAGGTGTATTCAATATAAACTTTTGAATGTAAATATAAAATCGTTAAGTCTATCATGGACTTTTACCTCAATGTTACCTACACTCACGGTCTATTATTCTATCTTCCTTTTCCCTAAAGATTTCTCTAGACTTTGTTTTGTGTTCTACTTATGACAAATACGCATGAACCGGGTTTTATAATCTTATCAAAATCGCTTAATTATTTATCTGAGATCAAGAATTGGCGAACCGACCCTAGACCGCTACCAGGTCAATAGGGGGTATGACTGTATGAGGATGACTTTGATATGCAAGCCTGAAGGAAAGTGCACGTCGGAAAGTAATTTGTACACTCCTAGCAGAAGTAGGGGTGGACTCGGGTCCGGGCCGGGTCCGGGTCGGGCCGGGTCCGGGTCGGGCCTAGACCCGGGCGGGCCGGCGGTTCAAGAATGGTGGACCCGGGACCGGCCCGGGTAGCCACCGGGTCCGGGCCGGGCCGGGCCTCCGGTTTGGATTTTTTTTTTTTTGCTTTCCTAACCCCCCCCCCCTCCCCTCACCCCCCACCCTCCCAAACCCCCCTCCAACCCATCCTACCCATCAAGCCCAACCCGGGTGGAACCCCAAAAATGAAAAAAAAAATAAAAAAAATTCAATTTGGCCAGGGCCGGTTCAGCAAAATTGAGACCCGAGCCCGGACCCGCCCTACCCCCGGGCCTAGGCCCGACCCGGACCCGGACCCGAGAACCGGGCCGGGTGGCCTGACCCGAGTCCAAGCCTAAACAGAAGTAAATAAGTTAGTACACTCCTAGAAGTAAATAGTACGTAGTATACATTGTACTCTCCTAAAATACCACTATTTTGGGCAAAAAACTGTTAGAAACTGCATCTGTCAACCATAGTAACACCTTTAGTTAGCTTTTTGTAATATTTAAACAGTGATCATTCGATCTTGTAATCAATGCCTTCTTTCTCCATCTTGCTTTGCTCCTGATTTCCTTGTGAATGCCGCTGCTCTGTTTGAAAGAAGAGAATGAATTGATGGTGCCACACTGCCACCTACAAAAAACCCTAGGACAAATGTCTAACTCTGTCGCACCCAATAATTGTATTTAATTATGTATTAATCTATATTTATGCATCGCAAGTTCTTTACGTTTTCTTTTGATAATATTTTTTGACAAAGCCACATTTTGATTATTACTTTTCAAGATCTTTGACATTTTTATAGGCTATGAAGCCGATCGGTGATCCCGGACCGGAATCGGACCCACCACTGTGGGGGATCAAATAAGGTCTGTTTTTCCGGTCCCGAGCTTGGATCGGGTACCCACCCGGATATTGGGGCGGGCTTAGTCTCAGGTAGGTTATCTGGGGACCGGGCGGTCCCGGTCCTAGTCCCAGTCCCAACAGCCAATTTTTTTTTAAATTTTAATTAGGGAGTGGGGCTGGATCAGACTAGCCGTTTGGTATGGCTAGTAACAGCTCTTTGACCGTTGGGGAGATGTTTGGGGTTAGGGGTGGGGGGTCACCAATTTTTTCCCTATATATACCTACTCATTTTATACATTTTTTCACACTATTCTACTTCTACTCAAATTGTATATTGTTGCACTCAAGTACAATTGTACAAAGTACAATGTATATTTGGTCCAACAAGTTAACCGTACCAATATAATTCAAGGGAATCAAGGCACCACGCTGATTAATTTTTTATACGTTTTATTCCAATAATAAATGGCATAAAATGAATTAGGGGTGGACTCGGGCCGGGCCAACCGGCCCAGAATCGGACCGGCCCGCTACTGTGCGGGCCCGGACCAGCCCGGTTAACCGGTTGGTTGGCCGGTTCGGGCCACCCGGCCTGGTGGGATGTCGGTTCGAGCTCGAGCCCTTCAAAAGGTGAACCGACCCGGCCGGTTCGGGCCTGGGCCGGGCCATTTTTTTTTTTGAATTTTTTTTAAGTTTTTGGGTTGGGCTGGGTATTTTGGGCCATTTGAGGTGGTTAGAGTTGATTTGGGGGTGAGTGGGAGGGTTGGGTTAACTAGGAAAAGCCAAAAAAAAAATAGAACCGAGGCCCGGCCCAGCCCAGACCCGGGGGTTACCCGGGCCGGTTCCGGGCCTCCCCTTCATGAAACGAGGCCCGGCCGGGCCCAAACCGGAACCGATCCATCCCTAAAATGAATACCAAGAACTTTGGTGGATCAATTAACAAAAGGTAGATTGTTGTAATTGCAACGTATACTATTCTAAGAATATGCATTACATTCATTAGTTTTGCATTTTATTCATTCATTTACATTAATAGATAAAAAGAGTTGTTCACTTTAAACACGCCTAAATGCATATGTAATGAAAGCTTCATGCAAAAACTAGACTTTATTATATGAAATTCTAGTAAACATGCCAAGCTACAGTTAAAAAAATCTAACAAAATAAACCGAGCGAGTAAATTTTTTGTTTTTGTTTGTCTTTATGGGGTTTACCTGAATAGTTTTCTCCTATACCATATTCATTCATTAATTCTATATAAAAAGACCATTTATGAAGAGTCAAATCTCCCCGGGCTTGTGCCCAGAGGAGAAAGAGAATTAATTATGACAACAAAGCTAGTACACTCTACAATGGGGCACTTCGTGCCTCATCACGCCTAAACCTGGTTAAAGCTATTCACTAGTACAACATTACAATTATAAATATGATTACAAAAAAAAAGACACGTACACTTGGCTGCCTATAATTTACATAAACTCATCCCACCCAGTGCATATGCCTTCACCCTCACCGTCACTGCTAAACAACGTCTGGTCTGAACAGTCGAGAGATGCTCCACATGCTGAGTTGTACGACTGGCATGCTGAATGGCAAACACGTAACCTGTTATCACCGTCCTTGTCACACTTCTGGATTGAGATCTGGGGATTCATACAACAGATTCAGTGTGTCCTTAAGCTAATGTAAACAAGGGACAGAGTTCATATCCGATTTCATCCCTAGACTATACACTTGTTTAATTTGGTCCTCGACTTTATTGACACTTGGGCACTCGGGCTATTTAAGCCAAAATTAGTTTCTTATACATATTTGGTTCCAAATTTCCAAATAAGAAGAATATTTTCGTCAATCAGATTTAGACACCACTTGTTCCTCAACTATGTAATTTGGACCCGATTTAGTCCTCAACAAACCAAAATACCCTTGATACCTATAATAGAGCCTATTTGGTAATACCAAATTTTTGCTGAATTATGAAAACTTATTTTTAAACATATGCAAAAAGGCTAAATGGTCTTTTTTAAAATTTTCCTTTTTCATAACCAAGTGGGGGACTGGTCATGCACTACAATGTTCTTGAGGACAAAGGTGAGGCCAAATTGAATAGTCGAGATGCAAACTGAGTCATAAAGCGTAGCACATAGTCAAGAAAGTAAGGGACTAAAACATGTATTATAGCTGTTTAGGAAAACTAACCCAGCAAGCTAAACGCTTGGAAGCACCATCACAGTCACGGCCTCGAATGAGGTTAAGTATTTTACGAGGGCCGGCTGGAAAGAGTCGGTGGTAGTTGGGCATCACAACAACTTCTTCAAGCTGCTGCAAAATGCTCAACTCACTGGGAGCACAGTGTTGCCAAAGAGCATCTTTCCTCAGAACGTCTTTGCAAACTGAGAGACTCGGGAGGAGCATCGTGCTGTTCTGGCAGGTATAACCTGCATAGTCAGAGCACCGGAACTCACACACTCCATTGTCGCATACACCACCATGCAGACTGCACTGTTCATCACATATTGCTGCAAATTTCACATTTCTAATATTAATTTTTGTAATATCTTTGCCTGTATTCCCACATGTCTAGCGTTCGTGGTAGAGTCTTTGATGTGCCAGAGATGATATAGTACAAAGACTACAAACCACAAGTTCCAAAAAGTCGAGGATCAAAAGTCTGGGCACTATTCCAAATGTGTAGGGATTCACGTAACATTGTTAGAAAGAGCCCTCAGAAAAGAGTGTCTAGCCAGCCATTGTAAAGTGCAGGGTTGGTTACTTTTAAGTTTTAACTAAAACAAGTGAGGGTTACGTTTCGAAAAATGCAAGGGTTTATTGGATTATGGAAAATGCTACATAAAAGAGAAAAAACTATGAAAATTGTTTTCTTATGATAGGTTTTTTACCATGGAAAATGAAAAGGAAAATGAAATATGATTACTTCTATTTAAAATTACATACATCTTTATACAGTAGACATTATTTAATGTATTGAGTAACAACAAATACCTATAACAAATTATATCGAGATTCAGTCTACCTTCTTTGCATGCCACATTTTCTTTTTTTATAACTATGGTTCCCTTCCTAGTAGTCCCCGCAACCAAACAGACACAGACCCCAGTGCAGGGGGGCTCAAAATGTGTTTTCTTTCTGCTGTGATGTTTAGTCAAACAAATTTGTGATAAAAACGAAGTGATTTACCTGTGGAACAATCAATCCCGGTGTACCTATTTTCACACTCACAAACACCATTCCTAAGACACTTTCCATGCTTACTACAATTATTGGGGCATGAACCTGCCAATAGAAAGCAACATGGCCCTCAAATATAAATAGAAACAAAAGTAGACACTAAAGTAGAAACGTAGAATGAATAAAGCAGAAAGCAGCTCACGTTTACTACAATCACGTCCCTCAAATCCTAGAAAACAATGACATTTTCCGTCAATGCAATCCCCGTTGGAATTGCATGAAGCAGGACATCGATCAGAAATGGGAAATGTATGTACTTGGCAAAGCTCATGATAAGCAGGGCAGATCAGCTCACCTATATTTTAGTAAAAAAAATTATATCAGCAGGTACAAATATATCTATAAAATATTTACTTTACACGTTGTGCAATACAAAAGATCCAATACAATAAATAATTATTGCAGGAAAAAGATATACCATTAAACCCGGGAAATATAACAGGTCCACCAGCGAGAGGGCATGCTTTCCAAATGCCATCAACAGAAACCTGTGAACTTGTCAGAAGACATCTTTAGATTCCTCATTTTCCATTAACAAGTAAATTTTCTTTGAGTTCCAATGTGATCTCATACCTGTAGGGAGTTGTTCAAACATCTGTGCTTATAGCAGCCATTTCCCT